TCATTGATTAGCGCATAAATATTCACACGACGCCTAATTGGCTGTACCCCGATTCGATTGTTGGGCTCAACTTTCTGGCCAAGTTCAGGGTCAGTAAATATGGTATTATAAAACCAGACTGAGGGCAGCTCATTTGCATTTATCTAAATGAGTTTTTCAACTTTTCTCAACTCTTTTGTTGGTATTTCACTTGTACAATTTGCAATGGCAAACAAGACCTCAACCACATTTTCGCCAAGGGATAAGTTTACACGTAAAGTGTAATTTACTCAGCTAGTTCCTCGTTAAGTTTCGACACTTTGAAACTCTTTGTGTTTTATTTAATTTTGGCAAAGCCGCAGAACAATTGGGCTCCAATTTAGCTTTGCCAGTTTCAACTTTTAACAGCATTTGTTGTCAATCAAATATTTAACATTTAACACGGTCTGTTTGTTCTCTTGGCTATTGTTATATGCCACGAAAGGGGAAAAATTGAGTCGATATTAAGCAAGACTAAAGTGCTTCACAATTCCACGTTTTAAAATAAATAATTTTGGGAATTTTATTCACGATAAGGCAGCTAATAATTATTTATACACATATCTCTTAGTTATTCTAACATATGTTTCATCTCAAGCAGTGCAAATAAATTGCCTGTTCTTTTCAAAGTGAAAGAAAAAGAAATTAAAATTCATGCTCTGTTTGATTGAGTTTTTTAATGTTTTTCTGTGGCCATTTTCGTTTGATATTTCTGTTTTGGTTAAATTAAAATGGTTTTTAGTACTTTTTCTTTCGATTTGATGGCGAAACTTCCGTTCTCGATCAAAAGAATGAACAATTACCTGCAATACAATTAATTCTCGGAATCGATTAAATGATCTGAGCAATTAAAATACTGGTTTCTCAAATCGCACAAATATTGTGAAGCCGAATCCGTTTTAAACTGGATTTTCAAGAGTATCGGAATATTCAAATTTATACATTTATCAGCCGTCAAATCCATCCAAAAATGGTATCTATATTTGCTTGCCCACAGGCAAATAATTTAATATTTATAACATTTGCTTTTTTAATCCCATTAAGAATTTATAAATGACCCAGCTATGTAAACGGAAAAATTGTTTATTAAAAAGGTAAACAAAAATGAAAAAGAGCCCACAGAGAGGGCTGGCCCTTTTCTTCTTTTCCACTTATTTTCTGTTTGCCAAACAAGTTTACCTTTTTTGTGTACACATTTTTTCTTGCCACAGTTACCGGCAAAATATTACATAATATGAAATAAACTTTAAACTAGCCGGAACGAGGAAAGATAAAAAACGCAAACTGGTTGCATTTTTAATTAAAACAGCTCGCGCTTTTATTTTTGTGGGTGTTAATGGGTGCGAGTTCAGCGTGTTGACAGCCCTCATGACACTTGTCAAAATATTTGCCACCAGGCTTAAGACCGCCTCACAGTTAAAATGTCTTTTTTTGTCTGACTGTCCGATTTTATGTTGGCTGCGAATTAAAGTTGAGCCCGCGGGAGCCACCAAGTTTTGCCAGATGGAAACAGCTTTATTAGCATTTTCCATGCCACTCGCAATCAACGGGCAAACGAACGACGAACGGCTCGAATCCAATTGAGTGTGATGGGCAACTTTTATTAATAACACCATGACATTTATGGCTTTTTCATCGGAGAGGGAGAGACAATCGTCGACGTCATTAGAGTTAAACTACCATATCATTGCAAAAGGTCAAAGTCGTAAACACAGTATAGACATTTGTATCTGATGAATCTAAATAATGCACAGCGAGAAATTCAGTTTATTATGTTATGGTAACTCATTTGAATTTAATTTATGCCGATATCCATTTTTGGATATCTTTTTAAAGAGATTGAATTGGTTTTAGTTGAGCAAGATTGTAATCTTTATTTCAATGATATGGGGAAATCAAGTTAGTTTTTGTATTTGCAACGATCAAGTTAAAAAAATCTATACATGTTGAAAATATGAAAAATGTATAAATACACTCATTTTCTTTTCGTGTACTTTATTGCAAGTTTGTTTTATGAATCTGCAGCATAAAAACCATAAGTTGTCTCTAAAAAACATTAGAGAAAAACAAAGTTGCACATGCACGTGTTAATGAATCCGCTTACAAGGCAAAAAAATGTTGTTATGCTGAGGTTTTATACCTGACTATTTTTTGATTTCCAATTATATCCCCCGTCCCAAGTACTCATCACTCCCCTCCAAACATTTTTGATCCCAGCGAGAGGAAATACCCCATCTATTTTTAGAGATTAAACCAATATTTGCATTTTACGCGATCGAATTTTAAGTTCTCTTATATCCGGAGATCGTAATTTTTTCGTGTGTTTCCTTAATTGTTGTTAGTCTGTTGACCTTGTCGAAATTTATGATATTTTTCTATGCTGGCTTTTTTTCGTTGCTTTGCTTGTTTATCTTTAAGTTACACGTTGTTCTCCATGGCTGATAACATGTGTTGACTCTGCTGGTCCTGAGTTATTTTTCTTTTTATTTGCTTTATTTTTGTCAGATTTTTTTTCGTAAATTGTTTGCTTGCACTTAAATTTCGACTGTAACCTTAATTTTAAATTAAATTCTTGTAGTTATGCATGTGATATTTTGCCTTTATGATTGTTCTCCAACATGATTGTTCTTTTGACATGAACTATTTCGATGTTCAAATTGATAAAACGATTTCTGACGAAAAATTCATTTCTCACAGAATGAGCTTTCTTAGTTACTTAAAACATTTGCTAAAGCAAATAATATTTTTATTATTTTGTACAAAACGCACAAAAGCTATACTAAAAGTGACCTAATAAAAACAAATTCCAGTGAATAGATATAACTCATTATGTATGCTAGTTTAGTGTTTCATTTTCAGTTCCCATTTGAATAACTAAAGCGGAAAACCTACTCTATTAGTATTCGCAATGTAACAAAATTCTCTCATTACTGTTAAACAATTCATGAATATACGTAATTCCCCAGCGATTTTTGCATGCCTACAAATGCAATTTGAAACAAAACAAAAGATACTTCCACACCTTGGATATACAGACATGCAAACGCACATTTATTTAGCATACCAGTTGACTCAAATTAACTCGATTTGAGCTTGAGCTTGGGCGTTTTTCACACACTCACGCTCATCGGAATCGAGAGTCAAACAAAACACACACTCGAAGATACATTCACATTGCTCGGTTTGTTATTGCCGGCTCAGATGAGAAATAAATATATATATATAAATATATATATCCAACCATATTTACTTTGCCTTGCGGCTTTGGCTTGTACAAATAATAGACATCAGATAAAAATTAAAGAAAACTCGCGGGTAAAAAACAAGTAACTAGCAACTACATGTAATTCCCCGAATCGTGGTTAACCCAAGATGAAAATCTCTTATCTAATGAATTTTAAGGGGCGTTCGTCATGTAAATAAAAATACAACAGACGAAAGATGATAATTTTAGAGACAAGCTTTGGCTGGGCTTTGTTAATTTGTAACTGCTATTGCTGAGCTGTTTATTTTTCCCGCTGTTGAGTTGCGGAAAAATTTGTAATTGAAAATGTTTTGCATGTTAACTGAACTGCGAAAAAAAATAATAAAAACTGGGAAGACAACACAACAAAATGTATATATTTAAATGGAAATTTGTTCTGCCTTCTTGGGTTCGTGAACAATTTGTGGGTTTACTTTTTGCACTCTACCTTCCACTCAAAAGTCAAAGTTCGGTGGTATTAAACTCGCCTGTTTGTTTGTGTGACTTGGGTCTTAATTTGTATAATGCATGTACCTCGACAACCGAAATTATCATTTCAACAACCTCAAGCGATTTGTGTCCACATGACGAAACAGCACGAAAGCTGCGTAATTAGTATGGGTTGCTTATTCTAAATGTACAAATTCAATTTCGCACTCAAGTTATTTAAGCTTAAATGATGTTTAATACACACAACACGAATGCAATAAATTAAGTACTTTAGCGTACTTCACTTTCACAGTCTCTTTCTCTTTCCTGCTCTATAAATCGCTCGTTCTCAATAGCAATTAATTAATGTTTATTAGGGTTTAGCCAGTTTACCTGCTACATACATAGTTCGAAAGATTACCCATCTAATTAAGCTTATTCGGGCAGGGTGAATTTTATTTATTTGCTCACACAGACAAATGACGTCAAACTCAGATAGAGCAAATAAATTTGCACCTTTTGAGAAAGTTCAGATGGTAATAGGGCATAAACACGCCTCATTTCTCATTTTCTACAATTATTTATTTATTCCTCGCTTATATCCCATTGAATTTCAAAGTAAATCGAAATGCTTGATGAATTATTTAAAGACCTGGGTGCAATCGTTATCTACCCAACACGCTGCCCAAGTCAATTGCCCCTGAACTCATTATGAGGTGGGTGAGACAGGTGTGTAAATGGCCACTTGATTGGCTATCGAAAAATCATTCGAAAAGTGGAACACCAAAACAAACGAAAGAAATCCATCAGCAGAAACTGGTAATGATAAGAAGATTGATAAGTTTGGTATGTGTTTTCTAGTGGCGATAAGAATGTTTGCAAAAGATATGCTAAAAGCAAATAAAATAAAATTCGGGCTGTAAGGAGCTTTGAATTCCCTGCTTTTTAATACAAATAAAAATTAAGACTTATTTGTGCTTAAAAAGATAAATAAATATTAAAAAAAAAAAACACAATTAAACGCAACTTAAATTAATATGTGCAACAGTTAGTAGACCATATTTTCATAATTGACTTGTCGATGGTACCTAGTTTCCAGTGATTAATATTAAACTAAATAAAATGTATTTCTACAAAGATATTTTAAGTGTTAAAACATTATCTAAAACACACCTATAAGCACCCTTCATGAACCGATAAAGTTAAAAGCACATTCCTCAGACATTTTAAAGGTTTCATATCACCCCATTATTATTCTTTACTATAAAATTTTCCGAAATAAATCAAACAGTATCTGTAGATCACTTACCGACTGACGAGGGTCGATTGCAGTCTCTTGGCGGGCGGCGATGTGGGCGTGGTGGGGGAGGTGGGCGACTTGGGTGGCGCTTTTCCGGCACGGGGGCCACCACCCACTGACCCGGCGCCAACTGAGCCTTTATCCAGTGGCTGTCGCGTTGGCGGAGTCGCATGTGGGGGCGGCGAGGGCGTGGCATTGACCTTGGACGAGGAGCTGCTGCTGCTCGATCTCTTGGCCAAAAGCAATTTGGGCGGCACTTTGGGCGTGACCGAGGGCGAACGCCGGGCACTAGCACTCACACTTGGACTGCCGCGCGGACTCGAGGCGGAAACGGATACGGAACCCGAACCGGAACCGGAACCAGGACTCGAACCGGAAGCCGGTGTCATAATCCGTGTACTGGACACCTTCGACTTCACATCGTTGTAGTTTGTCTTGATCAGAGACTTATTGCTGGCGATCTTATTCATCACGGCATCCCATTTGTTGGGCGTGTGCGCCTTGCGATTTAGCGGCGATTTTGGAGATCTTGGGGATTTCGGGGATTTTAAAACGCGCGATTTACCGCCACTTTTGGTGGCCGATGATTTGCACGACTTGGGCGAGGCGATCGACGAGTTCGAGGAAACGGAGCCGCGGAAATTCTCCACTGTGCAGAGCGACGACAGTGAAGCGTGTGGACGCGGCGACGAGGTTTTCTGAACTGAGAGCACCGCCGGCGATCGTCCCGCTGCTGAAGCGAAAGCTTCGTCGCCACAGAAACTTCGGGCGCTGCCGCCGTCGACGCTGCAGTACGAGGTGCGGTTGGAGAGCGACAGAGAGAGCGTCGTGGCCGCCGAGGAGGAGGAGAGACAGCTGCTTGGGGGGCGCTGCTGCGGCGCCAGCTGATTCTGCTGGGTGGGCGTGGGCTGACCTTGACCTAGGGAGGCGAGAGCGGCATTAACAATAAGCGTATAGAATATCACAGCCAGTGATATGACAGCCATACCTAATTAAAGATAACTATTGTTCAAATATCGCTTGAATATCAACTGGATTTTATATGATAGGCATTTGTATATTCAGTCAGAATTAAGCGACTATTAACAAATAATTTATACAGTTTGTAATTTATAAGCCGTAGCTAATAGCGACTTTATTCCATTCACTTTTGTCTCTACACATTAGGCGATAACTACAATTTCTCTATAACTCGAACAAGTTTGGGAGCTTGTTCGATTTATTCTCCTGGTTGAAAAAGTTGAAGCCTTCCAGGAAAAAGAATTTTTCTTAAAGATTTGGTTAGAGTTCTTGTAAATTGAAACATTCGGAGAATCCGTGCTAGAGATTTTTTTACGTCAGCAACACATTTCAAACTTTCTCTCAATTAAGCCAAAGGCAAGATAACATTAAGCTATGAATGACAATGATTTATCACATTAAATGATATATAAACTTCAATATAAATTTTTAAATTTTCTCTTAATACATAAAGATGTTTCTAGAAAACGAATTGAAAACTTTCTCGAATAGGTTGCAAATCGATTTAAAAATCTCTTAGGTTACAGAATTTTAACAAAAGAAATATAATTAAAAAAGCTCTGCATTAAGTATGTATGTATAATTAATTTAAAACTTTATATAAAACCAGCTTATCTTCTTACCTTTTCGCATGGTCTGCGTGGAGTCATCCGGCGACATGTCTACATCCACATCCACCTCCAACTCCGGCTGCCGCATCTCCTCGTCGCAGCGGTTCTCCACGTCCGTGAATATGCCCGACGACTCCATGCAGGAGTCCTCCATCTGGGGCACCGAGGCACTCGGCTGCATCATATCGGGTCCGTACAACTGGCCATCGATCACCTGGGCCCGACGATCGCCGCGATGCAGGACATCATCCGCATCGGATTCGGTGAAGAAATCTGAGTCTGTCATGGGATCCGGACGCCTCAGGGGCGCCGGATTGGGAGGTGGAAAGCTGGGCTGGCGACTCACCCGACCCAAGTGGGGTCCGTTGCTCGGGGAGTGGTCACAAGCGCCCCGGGATGCGGGTCGTGACATCTCCCCATCGCCCTGGTAACCCGTATCCAAACTGGTTACACTTGTGACGCTGGTTATGAAGCTATTGCTCAGTTTCGAGTGCTGTGAGGTGTTCACCTGATTTTGGGAAGCCTCCACCTGCTTTACAATTTCTGATTTTATTTCAATGGGATCCAAAGGCAGTTCCTCTGGCGATGGCGTCTGCTCCATTCTTAACTGCATAAGATTCGGATGATGCATCCTAATCAACTCCAGATTGTGCATGAGATTGTTGTGGGGAGAGTCTAGGAAATCCTTCATCTGATCGGGAGTAAGGATGCCCAAGCTCTCGTCTAAATCGAAAGAGCTTTGTTTCTTCAAAAGTTGCTGTTGCAATTGCTGCAATTGGGTGGATGATGAAAAGGAATTGTCCACCAGTTCAATGGAGCAATCCAGTGTTGTATCCGGCAGATCCAAACCAAAACTATAGCGGGTTCGTGCTCTACCCGAAGTGGAGGTAAGGGTCTTGTCCAGAGCTCCATTACCATCCATGGTTATATCTCCATCCGGCGTTCGAGTGGGCAAAACCAGGGCACTTTGTGCCTGTTTCAACAGAGGCGATAGTAGATGAACTGGCTGTGGAGTAGCCTGTCCCATCAGCCTCATTCCATGCGGTGTTGTGGTGGCCGACTGAGGGGATAGACATAAAAGCGAGTGCTGGGGAATAGACCTTCGTCCCGATTGAAGGTGTCCCCTACTCGGAGTTCCTCTCTCCAATTCCTGGGTTAGGTTCAGCAATTGTATATGCCTCGGTGATTGTAATCCACTGAGATCCAGCAATCGTTCAGTGTTCAGTGTGGAATTCAAAGGCAACTTCATGTTGGTTTTGTTCGGTGCCAAACTGGTCAACGTCACGTCCAGCGTGTCGTCCCTTTCATGGTCCAGTTTCTCCAAGTTACTGGATCCCTTGGAACTGAGGATGTCCAAGCCGGATGGCATGGATATATGTTCTAGCAGGGGCAACTGATCCATGCTCAGGGTTAAATTTGCTCCTTGATGGATGACCTTGGTGTAGTCACCTGGTTCATTGAGGGATTTTGTTAGATCTGCTCCACGAGCTGCCAAAGTTGTACTATCAATGGATTGGGTTAGACTGGATCCAGCCTCTTTAGTTTTGGTTACATTTGGTCCAGCATTTATGATTTTTGTAAGATTTTGTCCTTTTTCGATTATCCTGGATACATTTCCTGTCCTATCGCATATAGTTTTGGTGAGATTTACTCCCCTTTCAAACGTTTGAGTGCAATTTGTTGCAACTTCGAAAGTTTTACTAATACTAACTCGTCCATCAACCGAGCTAGTGAGATTTCCAGATCCCTCTACGATTTTTGTAAGATTTCCAATCTCTGTTGAATTTGCAGATATTGTTCTGGTCACATCCTTGCCCGGAATCATTGGCATTGTTCTACCCAATATTCCCGACGAGTTTGCAGTGTGTGTTGCGTTATTTCTCAAGCTGGCTGTCATCTCGTGAGTGGTGTCCATTGAACAAAACGTTCTTAGCATCGTTTTGGATGTGTTTTGAGAGGGTCTTAATATCTGAGTGGTATCTGTCTTCATAATTCTCGTGGCATCTTTTACCAGTACTTGGGTTTCATTTGATGTCGGCGAATCGAGATCCATGGTTCTTCCAAAAGTGGACAGCCGAGTGCTCTCCAATTTGATGCGATCTGATTGCTCTTCATCTTCGCAAACAAAAGTTTCGGACCTTACAAGGGGCATTGGCGTACTGCTAGTCAACTGATCGTTTGATATCATTCCGCGTTTCCCCACGGGAAGAGGAGTCACTGGCAGTGAACTGGTCATCTCGTTTAGATTGGACATCACTCCTGGTGATTGCACTGCCTTGGGACTGAAGTACTTCTTCAGGACGGTGGTGGTCCTTTTGCTGAGCAGACTGACTGCATTATTTATTCGCTCCCCACTAGCGCTCTTCTTCAGACTGCTGCCCAAATCCCGCAGGGCGGCTGAAGATGGGGCATATGAGCTGACGGGTCGCGCTTTTGCAGGATCGCTGGGCGCTCGAAATATTTGCGTAGCTTTGGGAGCACTCGTCGGTGGTCGAATGTGCTGGGTGGTGGTGTTGCTGCTATTGGTGGTTTTATTGGTGGTGCTGCAACTACTGCTGGCCAGTCCAAATGTACTCGGCTTTGGAAGCCGAGAGACGCCATCCAGGCGGGGAATTCGCGTTGTGGCCGGATCCTGCAAAGAAAACCGAAAACACAAGGCATTTAATTAAGTACAAACTAAGAAAGTATGCTATCTGCATACAAATTACTCCAGATGCTCTACTCCCATGGCGCTTGTTTTCTTAATACCATGATTTTACACAACCTCGCAATGGGTACACCTTAAAAAACATGTAGATTTTTAAATTTGGTTTAAATTTTACTAAAAAAATATCTTAACTACAAATCTTTGACAATCTATTTAATATTTAATGTTTTTATTATTAACTTTGCGACGTTTTTGTATTAATAAAATATGGATTAACTAATGCCCTTTCAAAAGGATTCAAGAAAAACAAAATATATATTTATTTTTACGGCGGGACCGATATTTTATGAAACTAAGGTAATTTTTTTGGTGTAAACTTTTATTTTGCATTGGCGCCACCCAGATTTCCGCAAACTGCACGTGCTCAGACTTTTTGGCAGTGGCAATGTGGTGCAAAGTAGTTCAGTGGGGCGTTTCCATTTGGCACCAGTTCAACGCACTTTAAAGCAGTATCAGAAACAGGGTTGACGTTCCTCCAAACACCCTTATCCTTTTGCTGATGTCATCGAAACTTATATCCCCTTTTTGGGGGGTATTTAATTCCACTGCAACCCCTCAAAGCTAATTGCAGTTTAATCAAATAAGATCAAAAAAGGAGCAAAGACTTTATGGCTCCGCTGAACTTTTTATGGCAGTGCGAGAGGGGTAAAAAGCGCAGTAGCGTAGCCTCTATAATGAATTTATAGCTTAACGGGGGAACGTTATCACGCGGCCAGCTAATTATGCACGTACACGGAACAAGTGGGGGTGGAAAATACGGAAAATAGGGTAAAACTTTGTAATAAACAATTTATAAGTACGGATTTGATGGAATGAAAGCTATACGAGACTCTAAATTATAAGCATTAACTTTAATCCTTTGGATTCCATTCAAATTCAATTAGGCTTCGTCATAAAAACATAATATTTTTCGTTAATTTTACCAATCACGCTAAGTAATTAATTCTTATTTAATTAATATTTGATAGTTTTTACAAAAACTGCTGAATGTTTTTGTTGAAATATTCTTTATATTTAATTAAAATAATTGTTTGTAAGATAGGAATTCAGAACACTATCTTGATTCTATGAAATATTTGGGAAAATTCGGAATCGTATGTTGATTCTTTTTTAAGTCACTTTATTTCTTATTTTCCTTGGAACACACAAATAAAACTTTAAAAATAATAAGGTTTGCCCCTAAACAGTATCGGAGAAAAATGTTAAGAAGATCTGGAAAGGACGCTGTGTTCCTTGGAGCACGTTTACATTTTGGTTTTAACCACTTGGAAAAGCTGTCAGCTGTTCAACTTTTTCAAGTAGCCTTACCAAAGCGAAATTATATAGCTGCTACTACTAGCCATCTCCCCATCAACTGGTCAAAGGAATATAATTTTACAACTCACAACCAGGATTTTAAGACCTATGGAGGATACTCAAGGCGGCAGAGCTATAGTACCGAATCGGCTTCCACAGAGACCGCAACGACTGTAAAAGTGAGTAAAAGGGAGCAACTCAAGCAGGCATTCAAGGAATATGGAGCTACCATTGTTGCGTTTCATGTGGGCATTTCGGTGATTTCGCTGGGATGTTTCTATGCACTTGTTTCGAGTGGAATAAATCTGGTGCCAATTCTGGAATTCCTTGGAATAGGATCATCTGTGATTGTGGAGAAATTGGCCACAGGAAGCACTTTTGTTGTGGCCTTTGCCGTTCACAAGGTTTTTGCGCCCGCCAGGATCAGCATCACCTTGGGAACCACACCATTTATTGTGCGCTATTTGCGGTCCAAAGGACTTCTAAGGGCAAAAACAAAAAGCACATAGTGCCTTTTGCTATCAAAATAATACTTCCTGCATTTCCTCATTTAATGAGTTTACTAATTATTAAATAAAAATTCGAAAAGTATTGTTTTTTTTCTTATTCTTATCAAAGAACCTAAAAACACAATACATGAACAAATATATGACAAAACCAGTCTTGGAAAAGCAATTTAAATTCGCTCCATATCATCCACACCATCAGCTTGAAAAGTTGGTTTAATGTGCTAAATGCTTGCCAAACAATCCGACCACAAACTTTGCCAACGCTTAGACTGACAAGGAAAACTTTCTTCATCTTCATCTTTATATTCGTTTTTTGGAGGACTACACAGTTCAAATTTGCTACACGCCACACAATATCAAATGCACTCGATGGCTGCTTACACTGACTTAATCGAAAATGCAATTTCAACAGACAAGTTAAACAAGCGCCGCCTGCGTCTCGAACTTTACGATTTTGTGTGGAGAGGGATGTGGAAATAAAATCTACAATGTGGCTGCCACACCACACCCTGCCCCATTCAGTGTCCTTGAACTTTTTCGCGTGAAAGTTTTCGCCTGAAGGCCCGGAACCCCAACCAAACCCCGATTGTTATCAAGTGCAAAATGCACAAAAGTTTCCGCCAAAAAGGTTGAGGGGCCACACAAACTGCTCCTTTCTCAGCCGGGTCCGCCATATGTGGCCATAATTATTCGAATATGGCACGATAACCGTGGAGCGGGAGCAGCTGCTTCTGGGAAATTAAATGTTATCGATAACTGCGCTGCGGGAATTTGCATAATGGTGCTTTTGACCGTGCAATATGAGCTGTGTCCTTGGGGTATGCGTGTGCAGGATAATGAGGCAAACATTCCCGAATAAGCGGTAAATTATTGGGTTTTACTTGGCCAGCAATTCGAGCGAAAAGGATTAAATACCGCTGCTGAATTGTTTTCGATATTTATTCGTTTTGGTTTAAAGCATTTATTTTTGACGCAATTAAAAGTATATTAGTTTAGCTTTAAAAAATTATATTTTAAAAATTGTTTTGTTAAATAGTTCACGTTTTGACACTTTAAACTGATTTTCTTATCAAAAATTGTTCGTTGATTTAATATAATATCTACAAATTGTATTTTACCTTTACTTCTGGGCTTGAAAGAAAGTTCTAAATATTTAGTATAAACTTTTTATTGATAGTTCAAAGCCACTTTTAAAATGCATTAATAAAATGTATCGAAAAAGTATAGAAAAAGTTGAGTAGCAATCGACTCGATGCAGCAAATATTTGTCACAACAATATCTGTGTGTGTTTACTGCAGCACTCGCGAGGATAAAGGGACACAACAAAAAGGACACGCATCGGTTGAAACACAAATAAATACTGTCACAGCAAGGAGACTCTCTGAATGCCCCCACAGCTGACAAACGGAAGCCGGTACAGAGAATCGAGGATTCCGGGTAATCGGGGGTGGATTGAACCTGCCACCACCAGCGAGTGGCACCACCACAGTCACTGCCACAGCCACGACACCACCAGCTGCATGTGGATGTGGGTTAAGCGCAAACGCATGTCCTATAGCCATGACAAGGCGGCGGAAGAGCGGAGCGGAACCAAATAAAAATTTATCGATTTCCATGGGAGAATTATAATATATAGCCAACCGCCCCCGCCTCCTGTCCACCATAAAACTTCATTTTTTTATCGATATTAATAGCGTCTAACGCGGGAAGGAGCAGATTTGCTTCGAACAGTGCATAAAAGCCAAAGAATCGTGGGTGTGCGATATGCCTGTGTTTGTGCATGCCTTATGCATGAATAATTTGCCTAGCCAACATACGGCCCCTTTTGGCCATCTCCACCCTTCAATCAATAGCGATTGCCGAGGTTATGAAAAGGCAAGTGAAGAAGGCAAAAAGAAGGGGAAATAATGCTAAAATGGTTTAACATTGATTGAATGATTTCCCCGTTGCTAAATCGCTTGTAAGGAAAGTATTCAAAGTTGCCTTGGTTGGGTTTCCATTTGATATGCATACAAGAAATCAAGAGAGCTTAAAAACAGAGCCAACAATTGGCCAAACAATATGTATTAAAATAGTACAAAATATTGAACATCTTAGTATTTTGTATGCATCCAAATAATACAAGCTTTGCAAAAAGATGTCGAGTATTCTATATTTTTAGTACCAAATTTAGATTTAACATGACTTTTCGGTACTAGTTTTTTTTAAACTTTTTTTATTTAAGAAGAAAATTGAACTCGTAGCCTTTTTTGACTTTGGAAATACAAACATTTGCTGAGTAAATCTATACCTTTCAATTTAATGCACAACGAAAATCAAGTCGACATGTTTGGCTTCCATACAGACAGCACATATACATAAGCATACATAACATACTCCCTTTCCCTTTCAGACAACCACCCTAATGACTTTTTACCATCCACCTAGAACCGAGCAGCTCAATCAACTTAGCTCGCCTAGTGGCAATGCAAGTGGTTGCCGTCCTGTTTATTTTACAACGGGAGCTACAAAAAACATTTTCACAAGCCATTAGCTCGTATCCATCAGGAGTACTAAGCGGTTTATCTCATGCAGGACAGCAAAGTAAAAGGACTGCAACAACAAGGACACGGACGAGACGAGAGTGGCAAACATTTGCAATTAGATGGGAAAACCGGTCCAATATACTTTGCATACTTTGCTGAGTAATAAAAAAGAGGCAATCCGACCGTAAAGAAACATTGCGCATCTGCAGGCAATTTTTGTAGCATACTTTAATGCGCTGCGGCAGTTGGCTGCGTCAATAAATCGCCAAAATGTCTGCGAAACAACATTTTTAATATCTCTGGCAATGTGTGACACAAGCTGCAACTTGTTCTATGCCATCATTTTTTGTTTATTCTTTTTTTCCCCGATTTTTCCAGACGCCAGCTGCAGGCGTGCGTAAAATTAAATCATTTTTATAGACCTATTCTCGTTCTTCCGCTGTCAACCAGACAATTAATGTCCCAGTCAAGTCATATATATTTTACACTAGACCCTGTCCGACTGTATCCGGAGACTTGAAAGAAATTTATGTAGATCTTGACTAGTTTTAAGTGGCAGCAGTTAGGGCAGAGCACATGCTGAGATCCCAGAGAAAAGAAATTACCTAGATTTAAAGTTGCAAATCAGCAGAGTCGAACGACAAAAAGTACAGTATACTACCAGGCTTTGATTAAAATGCCCCCAGGGAAGAAACATTTAGCCAGCACAAAGGTCAAAACAAAGAAAATAGGTAAGAAGAAAAGCCCGCAGTTTTCCAGTTTAATTTGTTTTTGTGTAAACACAGCAAGGAGAGAGGAAAATGTGTTAAGTTTTGTTCAGACGAGTTGTAATAGTAAAACTGTAAAGGAATTTTGGCTGTGTGCTTGCTTAAGAATTTACGATTTATTTAATGTTGTAATTAAGCTTGGACGACTTGAAGCACTAATTAATGTGCCCCTAAGGAGACTCACATGTGGCTAAGCTGCTTAAAATATAGAAGACTTTAGAGACATTTAGCTAAGAGGATTAAATATGAATTATTTGAAGATGAAGCTGACAGGAAATTAAAATCATGAACAACGAATAAATTGTGCTAAGCTTTGGTGACATATTTTTGTAAACTTTTCACTTTCAATAATATGGCTTAAGAGAGTCGCCATACAATTTTGTGTAAAATAAATATTTTTGATTTGAACGTATATATTTTCTGATCTACTTTCAAATAGACAAGTTAACTTAAGTTAAGCACACACAATTCCAATGTGTTTCCTTACAACATTTTCAATCCAAAAGGAGCAACAGAAATTGTCCAAGAAATATTCGTTTATTTGGTATGTAACAAGCATTCTGGCATAATTTATTATGCTCTTGGGAGCACAAGCCGACAAAAGGAAGGACAATCCGAAGACGACGGCATTTATCAAGTGTGCAACTCGAGCGAGGCTTTCGGTATCTACGTATATACCAAGTATTTCTTCGTTTTCTTTGGCATTGCAACTTTTTGGAGCAACGCAAATTTAAAATGTAAATCGCTTGCTGCAACACGAGTTGTTATGCCCCACGGCCTTTCTAAGGCACATCCATTCTGAATCGCTGCCCCCCCCTCCATCTTCATCAACATTTCTTGCTATGTTCGTGCCTTCATTTTCGTCCCCAATCAATTTTGTAAATTGCATTTTCGATTGATTTGAAAGCATGTTGTTTCCCTAACCCACCTTCACTCTTCTACTTCTGTGCATTCTGAATAAGATGAGAAATATTATCGGACAGTTGCCTCGGCCGCTGTTGTACAGGTGCAACGCGGCGTATGCGCAATTTGTTGTGGTCAATGGATGATGGGGATGTGGATGTGGAAAGCCAGGAAAACCGCTCCGGTTAATGGAATTGCATCCGTGAGAGTTGGAACCCTGACCAAGAAACCCATCAATCAAGGTCGAAAGCTCCATGCAATGTAAATTACACTTGGTGGCAATCCTTCGTAAATTTATCTTTCGCATGTAAACACAATTTACCAATTGAAGAGTAAATCATTTAAATTTTTATTTATATATATAAGGAGTTCAAATTGATTTTATGAATTTAGTAGCTTTATATCTCAAACTTATTAGCAGCCCAAATATAAATATTTTTTTTAGTTTTCCAATTCTATCTGACCATTAACCTCCAACTAACAATTATCTCATTAAAAGGGTATTATTGCATAGACTTTCTTTATTGCAAAATATTCAATTTACCCGCAGGTATTGGAATCTCCTATTTCACATAATTACAAATAGAATGAGACAAAAAAAAGTAATTTTCTGCGCAATTGCAAATGGCATTTTCAGAAAGAATCGTTGACAATAATGAAGCTGATGAACATTTTGTGGTTGTGCTTATTGTCATTGTTGTTGCGTTAGTTATTCTAGCATTGGTTGGGGTGCATTTAGGCCAGTCTGAAAATGTTTGCGTCATTGTTCAGCTTTAGTTCTCTGCGGTTGCCTGAAATTGTCGTTATGCATTTACGGACATCGCACACACATGTGGCTCGAGTGCGGTTTTGTCGCTGGAAATGTTGACTATGAACTGTAAACAAG